CTGGTGGGAACTACAAGGACTTGTTCTCTGTTTCTGATTCTGACATGCTTGGATGCATTCCTTTTTTCTCTATCTGACTTCCTGTCTGTTTAAAAAAAAAAAAAAAAAAAAAAAAAAAAAAAAAAAGAGAGAGAGAGATAATAATTGATCCTACCAAAGGAAGACTGAGGAGACAGTGGGCACTGCTGAAGCATTAATTTTACACTGTATCTAAAGCTTTCACAGTGATAGTATTGCATTAAGGCTGTCTTTCTGAGCCACCTGTGATGAGTTGAGGGAGGAGGCACAGTACCTGCTTGGGTTCCCTGCACTGGGATGTCAGCTGTCCCTATAGCAATAAGTGCATCTCTCTACAGCAAGGAAGTGGCCAACAACCTGGATATTGCTTGAATTCATCCTCATTTCCATGCCTTGCATAGCTGCTGTCCCCTTTCCTGCTACAAGTGAGGGAGGGCTGGATTTCAATTGTTACACAGGTGATAGTAAAGGACTGAATAACCAGTGTGGCTGGGAGGTAGTGGGAAATGGGGATATTCTTCATTGCTTCTGTCATTTTGGTTCAGTTGATGCTGCTCAGTTATGATACACCCAAACACTTTAAGCTGCAGAAGTGATTTAGGAATGTTAGAGGCCAGTGAGAATTGCTTTGTGTTGCCCTGCATCTCTCTATCTCTGCTCTGCAGAAGCCCTTGTATATTCTAGGCAGGGCCCTTCAGTGCCTGCATCAAACTTGAAATGGAAAAATGCATTTCAGTGCTGAAGTGACTAACCACCTCTCTCCCTGCGGGGGTAGTGCACAATGACTTACTGGGAACAAACAGCAGTTGGACTGGAGCCTGGCATAGGTCTGTTATCCTGAAGGGACTGAAGAATGAAGGTCACCAGCACAGAAAGCTGGGAGTAGGTAAACACTTGCTAGGAGTTGAGCTTTGGTTGTGGCACACTTGGGCGCAACAAGACACAGATGGGAGAGCAGCTTTCGTAAGAACTCTCCTGTCTTGAGAGTACCTGCAAACACACTGAGTGCACTTTATTCCCACTTGGTTAGAAGAAGCATTAGAATCAAAGGGCCCAACTTTTTTTTTTTCTCTCTGCATCCTGAGGAGGGCCCTTCAGGATGGTAATGCTTTTGATCCACATACTTGTCAAAACTTGGTCTGTTGTGGTGAAACCTGCTCACTGGGGGTGGGGGAGAAGGGAGGAAATGCTTCTCTTGGATGGTACCCTACAGATGCCCTCTGCTGCTGATGCTGGCAGCTGAGGAGCCAGTGTGTCCCTGAAGCCAGATGCCATTTCATCGCCAAGTGTGTGCCATTAGTACAGTGACGCTCTTTCCCCCCCCTTCGGCTTTGGGACTGGGTACTGTGCAACCAGTTCAGCATAGCCTAAACCCAAAAAGCAGATGCCTCTCCTTGCTGCTCTTCAGAGTCTGGTGCCTCAGCGTGGGTCTGGAGCTGAGCCCCAGCAAACATGCTTAGAGCTTCTGGGCTTGATGGGCTCAAGCCCTCTGAGTGGCTCTCAGTGCTCATGTCCTTAGGGCTAGAGTTTAGTGACAGATATGGGGCAGTGGATAAGTGGAGCCATAGGTGTGCCTGGCGTACCTCTGGGAATTGGGCTTGTTAGGATGGGGTAAGCAGGAAGTGCTGTTACACTAGCCATATACTGTGGGCATTTGGATGACTTACTAAGGGAGTTTTGCCATGTTGTCACACTTTGAGCCAGCATAAGCTAGGTCCTCACTCTACAAGGTCAGATTGCATTATGGGACTGAGCCCCTTGCTGAGGGAGCTGTGTTGGGGTTGGTGGAAGAGCTACTGCTTGCTCTTCATCTAACAGTTGGTCTCTCTGTCTCTCCTATTCAGCTTGGCATTGCTGTGGGTTTCCTTGTCCCTCCAGTTCTGGTACCTGATGTGGAAGATCTAGAGCAACTGGCCTATCACATTAGTATTATGTTCTTCATCACTGCAGCTGTGGCAACTGCACTGTTCATCCTTGTTATTATTGGTAAGCTGGTGGGGGCATATGTGCAAGAGGGATGGAGGTAAGAGGATCACCTTGTGTAATAGGCCTGCTTTGTGTGTCACAGGAGGGCCAGGGAAATCTGATAGGGACCATTTGGGGCAGTGTGCAAACACACACCCACCCTTATTCACATGCAGGCTGGTGACCACCCAAAAGTAACTCCCTCTGAGAATGGTACAGTCCATAGCTCCTATCCTTTGGACCAGGGAGGATTTGCTTTAAATCAAATTGATTTTTAAATCACTGGCCAGGAATCCTTGATTTTAATCATTGTTTTCTACAAAAAAGTACATTGTTTGATATTCTCCATTTAACTTTTTGAAACTTTGCACTTTTTGAGAGGTAAGGGCTTGACTCTGCATACACAAACTTGCAGAAAGACAATGTGAAGAAATCCCCTTGTGACTATCTCTGGGTTGCTGTGTGTTTTTGCTTCCTCCCATTTTCCCCCTTATAGTGTCCAGACTCTGTCTTAAGTTTCCACATCAAGTAACCTGTGGAAACAGTTTGGTGACTCCAGTCATTCCACCAAGGGCTGCTGACCACTTCTTAAAAGGATCAGTCTGCCTCAGCTGGGTTCAAATAATGTCTGCTTCCGGTTGGAGCCAGGTGATGAGGTCAGAAGAGTTTTTATTTAAGGGTCAGGTTACCTGGTCTAGGGGTTCTTCCTCCAGGGAGGCATTTTGGAAATGCAAACAAAAGCATAGGCCTCCAGAATTCTCTGGATGTGTATGCGAGTAACTTGCCTGAAATTTAGCCAGTATATTAGGGTTATGTATCTTTAGCCACGTGTTTAAAAGGTCCAACAAGCTTATTCTGTATTGTTCAAGCTGTTTTTCTTTTAACATTTCTCTGTCCTGTACCCTTTCCACAGTCTCTTCTCTTATTAATAATGCTGTCTGTTACAGCATACCTAGCTGTGGATTCTTGAGGGATGGGACCATCCTTTTGGCTCCCTCTGCTCAGCTAGCTAAAATGGGCTTGCCTTTTTTAAAAACAAAACAAACAAACAAAAAACAACTTTCCTCCAGCACAGGAGGCTACTCTTGAATGCTTCAGGCTATCAGAAGCACTCCAAAATACCATGCTGGGCTAAGCAGCACCAGGGTCTGCAGGGTCTGTGTACCATGGGCTGCACAGAGCCCTATCAGTGACCAGAGCCCAGGTGGTGGTAGCAATTATCCCTGGCTTGTGGGTGTGCTCCAGGAAGAGGGTTGGCTGGATGTAAGTGCTTCAGAGGAGATACCTGAAGTGGGGTTTTCGTTGGGTACAGTGAGGCAGGTGGCTCAGCGTAGTAGCGCTCCCTACTGTCCCACCACAGACAATAGGGCTGATGGGTAGGTAATCGGGTCTGTTCTCTCTCATCTCCATATACTGCTGTTAACAAGGATATTATCTCTGGAGACACAAATCCAGTTTGAGAACTGAAACTAAGCATTGCAGAGATGCTTAATGGGATCTTCTAGAGTGAGCACTGAGTTCCATTGGGTAGAGTGGTTTTCTTTAATCTTTATGAATTTAGAGGAGCCTCTGGGAACCCCGTAAGATTGGGACCCTAATATAGTCTATGGCCTGTTGTGACTTTATAAGACTTTTCTAAAAAAAAGTGATATGAATATATTGTCTCCAAATAGGAATTATAAACTTCTAATTGTATACTATTTCATAACAATATCTTTGAGCTTTAACATATCTTGAATTTAAACTATATCGGTTTATTTTTTTAAAAGCATCTTAAGAAAAAAATTAAAAATACAATTAAATAAAAAATTCTGACATGAATAAATAAAAAATATTGGATTAAAAAAAGAAAGTTGGTTTTTGTTTTTGTTTTTGGTTTTTTTTTTTTTGTTTTTTTTTTTTTTTTTTATCCATCCTGCTTTGGATGGAGTCAGGGACAGAGGCAGGCTGATTGTCTACTGCAGCCTTTGTCAGACTGTCTAAATACCTGGCATGAACCGAGCCTTTCAAAGCCAGCCTGGAAACTGTGCCAGGATCACACTCTCTTGGTGTCCCCAAATGGGAATGCTTGCATTGTTCCTGGGGGAGCTACATGTGCCTTGAGGTTTGTCACCTCCCAGGGGACAGGGCAGAGAACAATGTCAGGTTAAAGGACACTGTGGCCAGTTAGGTGTAGAGGGAGAGTGGGGAAGGGATCCAGTATTGGGTGGGGACAGAATAGTTTGAGGCAGGATTCAGGGTAGTGCAGTTTGTTTGGCTGCTACGTCAGGTGCGAGACACTCCTCCTCCGGTCCCCAGCTCATCCAGGGAGTGAGGGGAAGCCTGGCTTTTGTTGTGGCAGGAGAGCGTACTCGGTTTATTTATCTACGGAGTTCTGCTTTTTCTTATTGTAGCCTCATACTTCCAGCTTGTGCCCCTGTTAGATCCACCTGTTGTGCCCTGCTGAGTGTATTGATTTGTGAGTTCTGTGGGGCAGACACTTTAATTTTTGTTCCTTGTCTGTACAGTTCTGAGGACAGGGAGCCCCCAGATTAAGTACTACCATCCTTTTTCATTACGACCCTGAAGCAGCTCAGCCAGGCTGAGGGGAACTTAGTGCCTGGAAGGGAGCTTGGCACTGCCCAGCTCTCACCCAGCACATGGGGCTGCCTGGGCTTCTGACAAATGTATATGTACAGCCCCAGTACCTGTACGTGTACGTTAGCACCTTCAGATGCCCTGGTTTGAAGCAATGGCTCATTCCTTCTTCAGGTAGATGTCAATGGCTCTATGAGCCCCTTGGTGCCCAGCAATGCTGTCAGCAAAGCCCTTGCCCAGCCCATAGGGCTTCCTTTCTCAGAGATACCCTTCTGCCAGGGGAGCTTGCACTTTACAATCAAAGCTTAGGGAGAAACATGTTTACAGACACTGTTTCCAGTGACTTCCCCTGCCTTCCTGCGTAGCTCCCCCACATGCAAAGTAGGCATAGGCTCCCTGGTCTCTGGTCACAAACATGTCCCTGCTGTGTTTGTTTTCAGTGTTCCAGGAGAAGCCACCACATCCTCCAAGCCGGGCCCAGGCCTTGATCCAATCAAAACCACCGGAAGACTATTCGTATCTGCACTCCATCCTCCGGTTGCTCCGCAACACTAACTTCCTGCTGCTGATGATCAGCTATGGTGAGGCCAAGCCCCTGTGTTGTTCAGGAATGGGGGAAGAGGGTGGATCTGCCCACCAGAGCATGAGCCTAGACCAGGGGCAGGCAATTATTTTGGGTGGAGGGGCAATTATCGAGTTTTGGTGAGCTGTCGAGGGCCGCACGGATAGCCCCACCCCTTAACAGGTGCCCTGCCCCCTGGTCTCCATCTTGGGACTGGAAGTCCCACTCCCTAACCCCTGACCTTTGTCACTAGAAGGCCCTCCCCTTGCCCCCAGAAATACTCCTTTCAGCAAGGGGTTTTGCCATCGCAGAACCAGAAAAAAAACAAATTTATATTCTAAAAATCAAACATCTACAACATTAATTAATTTGATTTCAAAAAATATTTTTGTCCTGATTTACATGTGTTTGTAGTGTACACAAGTGATGGCACAACAGTTTAAAATGAAGTCTTACTCTGGGGGGGGGCATGGAGGGGTGGGTATGTGGGGTGTGGGGAGAGTGTGTGTGGAGGGGTATTATGGGGGTAGATAGGTGTGGGGTGAAGGAGCATGTGGGGGTGTGTGGTTAGGTAAGGTATGGGTTTTGTGGGGGGAGGGTGGCTGGAGTGTGAGGGGGGTGTGGGGGTGCATGTGTATATGTGGGACTCACCCTATGAACACCACCCCCACACCTTCCCACTCTTGGCCCCAGGGTATCAGCATGGTCCTGTGCTCCTGCAGTGCAGCCCAGGGCCACGTGGTGCTGGAGCCAGAGCCGTCCCTAGGGGTGTGCAGGGCCTGGGGCATATCAGCCTGTGTGGGGCCAGGGGGTGGGGGTGGCGACAGCCTGCAGAAGTCGGCTGCTGTGGGGTGGGGGCATGGTGGGGCCTGTACAGCACTGTCCACAGGGCCCCCCAAAGCGTGGGGTCCCTAGCAGTCGGACTGATTTGTTGTGTTGTTTCTCCCCTCCCCCCATGGCCCTGGCTGGACCAAGTGTGCAGGGAAGCAGTGAAAGTCGGGTCAGGTAGAGGCTAGGGGGGCTGGGTTGGCTTAGCCTTTCTCCCGAGTCCTGCCGGCTTCCCACGGGTTTTCATAGATGTTAGGGTCGGAAGGGACCTCAATAGATCATCGAGTCCGACCCCCTGCATAGGCAGGAAAGAGGGCTGGGGCTAGAAGACCCCC